TCTTTTGTTGACTATATAAATAAAATGAAACACAAATAGAATGGACGAGCGTTAATGGATAAAAGTTGATTAAAAGCTTCAAAGGTCCATTTCACTGGGTGTCAACTTCATTCTACTACAATAATTAACAAATGCCTTGATTTGGTAAAGTTGAAAGAGGCCAGTCCAAAGGCGTAAAAGCACAATCTGGATTTTAAATTGCATGAATCCCAACAAATATAGAAAGGGGTTTGGGCTCGCTGTTGTATCTTGAACTTCGCACCACAGGCAGTCCATACTTTTGAAAAGTCAATAACATTGATGCAGGGATATTGTACAGAATATCATCCCTTTGGATTTACGGATTTTCTTTCTCCTTTGCGGTATCAGATGACAATTGTATGATGCTCTATTTTCTGTTTTAGCTTGTTATCTGGCATGACCACAAATGAGTAGTTTCGGAACGTCTTTTTTGATTTCTGTTTTGATAAAAAGGAAAAGAAATAAGGGGAATAAATTCACAGATTCTCAATAAAAGCCATAATTTAGATAAATTTTCTAAAAACAACTGCGTCAAAGTACTTTTCCTAGTAACGGTCATCGTGTCACCATAATTTTAAGTTGAAATAACAATGCAAAAAATTTTCTCATTCCCACACTTCACTTTAGAAAAGTCCAATCCAAGAAGTCAATCCAGATTGGGATTTTCCACAATTTTGGATTGTGAGGCTACAACTAAAATATTCTGAAAGAGCAAGTGAAATAGGTATCAATGGTGTAATTTGTTTCGCTTTTTTTCCTAAAAAACGTATCGTTTTACGAGCATCAAAAATATCACACAAGCGGCACTTGTATACGCCTTTACAACACGCCTATTCCCCTTCCCAAGGGACTTGGCGGCGACAATTGAACTTGGCAGCCAAAAGCTGACGCTAACTATGCAGATTGAAAGGTTTTCCTCCAAGGAAAATCTGGCCAAACATGGTAAAATCTAATGCGATCTCTGTTTTAGCCAGGCTTTATGAGGACTATCCGAAGACGATTTCTATTTATAGTATGGATAATCGGAATATTTTGATACTCCTCTTACTTTTCGGCGCTATCGTCGAATCTCACCATCCTCGTTAAGGCAGGCCTTTGTCCCGAGTTAGACCTTTAAGATTAAGGCACGACAGGTACTATGTACATAGTGTATAGTGTCGGAGGAGATCCCTTTCTGATCCACTCCGACATGAACTAGGTTTGTCTCACGCGGAGATAAGAATCAGTTTCAGCTTGCTGTATCGGATTAATAAAAGATGCCCAGGACTGGAAAAGTCTGTACCTTGATTTTTTCACAGTCATACACAATCTACTCTTTATAATTTTTCATGCTAGAAATTATAGATATTGAAAAACTCGGCCCCAATTAGGTTTCAAAGTGAAGCCAAAATACATACGATGGAAGGCTACATCCCGGGCGGACAAAGACCCCTCAAAATACAGTAAATGTATGTAATTTGTGCTTTGAGGGGCCTGTGAAACACAGTCTACGCCCGCGATGTAGTCGTTTTTTCATAAACACACCCTTCATTCAGAAATCAAGCCTGGTATTTTTTATCCTTTCAGTTGGTTTATCATAAAGCAATCAAACACGAAACCGAGGCTGATGAGAATAGATTTCTAAAATAACCGCTAGAGTTATCATGGACGAAGCGACAAACAAGAAGTTTGAGAAGTTTAGAAATTTTCTCTCGAGAATAGGGAGAATAGTATTTTTTGCCAGAGTCAAAATGAACGCCCCATAATCAAACACCCCGTTAAAAATATAATGAAGAATTCGAAACTTTTCAGCATACACAGTTTTCTGATAACAAATAAAATATAACAGCCTTAAATAATTGTTTCACTCAGTTCTTTGCTCTTGTCTGCCACCCGTTCTTGTTGAACTCCGCACAAAAGGCCTTATCAACTCCTATAAGCTATAATATTGTTCTATTGAATTTCTTTTTATCTATTTTATTTTTTACTTAATTTGATTTGATTTTTTGTTTGGCGTCGAACAATACACATAACTTTTCGATGGTGAAAATGGTTCTTCCAATGGATTTGAAAAAGTAGATCTCTCATGGTCTCATGCTTAGTTCACATCCAGCAAAAGGACCTTTCCCGTGCGTCTCCTTATCAAGCCTTGAACCATATTCGTTCTGATTAAGTATCTTTTGATCTTGTTTTATTTCTTTATTCGTTTTATTTTGAGATTAGTTGAGTTGACCAAAATRTATAACTTTTCAAAGTTGTAAAGAGGTCCTTTCAAAGGATGTGAGAAAGTTGCTCCCACGCTTAGTTCACATCCAGTGAAAGGACCTTTGAACCTTCCAATCAAATCTTCCAACGAATTTGTCCTTCTAGCTTATTTAGATCTTTTTTTAGCTATCTATTTAATTGTTTTGTTTTGAGTTAAGTTGAGTCGAACAAAATATGTAGCCGAAAAGGGTCCCGTCGATGGATATAAAAAGTTTCCTCTCTCATGGTCTCCTGTTTAGTTCACATCTAGTCAGAGGACCTTTGGAAGCTACTTTTGAACTCCTAAATCATATTGGACGATTAAGTTTATTTTAAACTACTTTCTTTACATTTTTGTTCTGTATTGACAGCAAAATATAACGTTTTGATTATAAAAAAGAAAATTTTGAGTCTTACAAACGATTCACTTTTGTTGGACAGGAAGGAAAACGGTTCTTGGTCTTTCACCATAAGGACAGCTTTACGTATTTAAGCTCAATATTTTGTAAACACGTTCTTTTGGAGCCAAATTAATAATCGCAATATATTGTTAATCCCCTTTCTTTCTTTCCAAGATCACGGCACGGCAAGTATGTGGCTAGTCTAGTACCGAATTCAATTTGTATTTGCTCCGACAAGCTGGAGCTAGAGTGGTGCGCGAGGAAAATAATTTTTCTGCTCTTTGAAGCGAACAGAAAGCCATGAGTCCAGGACTAGATTAGTCGGTAACTTGAGTTTTTCACGGTCATACAGAATCTACTCTCTTTAATTAGTCTATCCTTTGAGTTCTAGGAATCGAAATTGAAAAGGCTTCCAAATGTATTTCATTTTGAAACATTGGAGATACATACGATGGAAAAGGCTACATCCCGGGCGGAGAAGGATCCCATAAAATACTGTAAATGTATGTAATTTGGTCTGCGAGGGGACTGTGAGATGCCTTCTACGCCCGGGATGTAGTCTTTTCCTTAAAACACACCATTTAATCACAAGCTAATCCTGTTATTCTAATGGATTTCTAACCGCTACAGTTATTATGGACGAAACGACTAACAACAAGTTTGAGTAGATGTTTGGAGACATTTTATCTCGAAAATTGAATGTTATTATTGAGATAAAATGTCTCCAAACGTCATGACTGTACCCACAATGGCCCTTTGGTCTTGGAATGCATTATTCAATATGAAATAGCTGTATAATCCAAAAGGGCCTGCAGAACATAGTAAATTCCTGTGAAGGAAAATGGCTAAGAAACAAAAACGGGAACCATAAACCAGGAAGAAAATTGCTTTGGTGATGACAGTCTTGACCGCAAGTCACTGAAAAGGGATTTGAGAGTCCTTTGAAAAACTGTCATCCTAGAGCTGGAGGGGCAAACTATCATAAACCCAATATGAGGTTTTTAGCTGCAGCTATACGAGGTTATATAATAATACTCCAATATCCATCAATATTCAAAATTACCGCTAAACAATGATACTCCTACTGCACGAGTTACAAAATACAAATCAAACAGTGAATAAAGGTAACGCACGTGAGGATTCACACCTGAGGCGTAAAACCAAGACGAGCGCACGTTTTGCATAAATAAAACTAGAGTGGCGATACAGTGAAAATTAAAAGCGCTGACACAAAAAATGATGGGTTAGGTCGAAAGGACTTGAACGGTAAAACATTAATGCAAATGATACTTCCGTGCAAGTGTACACGAATCTTATGAAGTAAAATTCCTTAACAAAATTCAAAGCAACTAGAACACGTGCAAGACAAAACCACGAAGCATATTTATATGTTTTAAAACCAATTAAAGCAATTAAACTGTTTACGGCTGAGCAACCTTACCTATTCGCCGATACTTCTTACAGGATGTAAGATATGAATTCAAACTCGTTCTTCAACCTTATATTTGGTAAAACCGGAGAGCTAAAGAAACATTACCTAGCCGCATCAAGCTCGAAGTGGAATGACTGATATGCTAATCAGAAGAGTTGGCAGGTTTCTACTGGTTGAAACAGTGTGGTCTTATTGGTTTATGAGCTTTTGCGAAACGAAAGGATGCAAAATCGTTTTGCGAAATGCTTTTGTGAAATAGTTTTGCGAAATGGTTTTTGTCAGCTTTCTTCGAAATCCGGCAGTGAAAACTATCCATGGTGAATGTAATTTTTCAAATATTCTCATATATTCATGTTTATTCCTAGACGGAAATTTCGAACATTTCTTAAGAAAATACATGAAAACGGACAGAAACAATTGGGTTGTGAGTCTAGTGAGTTTTGAATGAAATTTTAAGTTTAAAGCTTGGTTTCTGGTCTTGTTTTTATGCATGCCATATTTGCTTTGCATCCATTTTTTTCCAAAAAAGAAAGCTTCAACGTTCCAGGAAAAGTATTTTTTGAAAAAATAAACTATAGCTAAAGTAATTCAATGATAAACTAAAACCCTTTGCAACTCAAACTTACATGACATGTAGCACGTACAGGAAGACCTTCCAATGCAGTTCTTGAGTCGGTCAATCTCAGCCTCTGCCTTGGCATATAAGAAATGTCTCATTAAACTCTTTGGCTCGCTCTCTGCTATTCTTTTACCATTTTTTTAAATAAGAGAGTTTTCTGTTTGTTCTTCGGTGATATTTTTTTAAAAGAAAAATGGCCTCAAGAATGAGCCTGCAATCAAAAATCAGCGGTCTTACCGGCTAAGAAAGGTCTGGTAACTAGTTACCAGCTTACCACCATTTCCCGCGTAAATAATACAAACTTTCAAAAGTAAAGTGATTTTACTGAATACTTGTAAACTTATGAACAGCATTAAGAATAGATTGGATCGATTGAAGGGAAATGCATTGGATAGAATTGCTCAAGCCAAGCTAGACGAATTTGGGTTGAGAGGGATTACTTTACGTCCTTACCAACTCGATGGGGTGACGTTTTTGAGGAGAAGCTATGATGACAGGCATGGCTGTATACTTGGCGATGAGATGGGATTAGGCAAGACCATACAGGTGCTATATATAAACCAGCTTATTCTATACGTGTAATGTATTGATGAGGGTGAGATGGGACTAGGCAAGACCATACAGGTGCTATATATAAACCAGCTTATTCTATACATGTAATGTATTGATGAGGGTGATATAGGACTAGGCAAGACCATACGGGTGATATATATGAACCAGGTTATTCTATACGTGTAATGTATTGATGAAGGTGAGATGGGACTAGGCAAGACCATNACTAGGCAAGACCATACGGGTGATATATATGAACCAGGTTATTCTATACGTGTAATGTATTGATGAAGGTGAGATGGGACTAGGCAAGACCATACAGGTGCTATATATAAACCAGGTTATTCTATACATGTAATGTATTGATGAGGGTGATATAGGACTAGGCAAGACCATACAGCTTAAGAAAAGCATGCAGCTCATATTTTGTTTTTCAGGTCATCTCAACTTTATTACATCTCAAAGGATCAAAAGATGTACAAGGTCCATTTTTGATTCTGTGTCCTTTGTCTGTTTTGTCAAACTGGGGATCTGAGTTTGAAAGGTACATTACATGTAACCACAGTTAACATATAATATCGATCCTTGATATTCCTCATTCCATTTGGTTAAATGCATAACATATCTGTGGCGGATTTAGAGGGGGTTCATTGGGTGCAAATGAAACCCCCCCCAACTGGCTGGTACCTTGGATTTTCTATATCTTTTAAATAAATAAATGAAAGTATGGTAGGTCCGCTTTTTGATGGATAGGTTATCCTTATCAGGAGCGCCCCTAGGCCAGTGATGTGCCTCATGGGAAAAATGATGATGCAAGAGAACATTGTTGTGCCAAGATTTGCAAAAATGAACCCCCCCTCTTAAAGTCCTGGATCCACCACTATATTGTTGAAAATAACAGATGCTTGTAATGGCCGGACATGATGACTAGCCACATTGCACGAATCAACATGTTACCATAAAATGTGACTGGTCAAGAGAACCATGTAGCTTACAGTGTAATTGGTGTTTGGTTGGACAAATGCCAATTTTGGCTAGACGTTATTGGTTGTCCAGTCTTTGTTTTTAGTCCTGGCGTAACAGTATCAATCTCAATTTTAATTACTTATCCCACCCAACTTCACTACCCTAGGGCTTAAAACAATGGCCGGTCATTAGACAATTTCTTTCTGGAACTGGAACTTATCTGTTCAAATCTTTAGAACTGTAACATTGCACAAGAAACAAGGTATGACCAAGCTCAGCTAAAACTAATTTGGCTGATGGTCATGACCTGTGACTGACCAGCCATCATTTTAAGTCATGTATAGTTATTTATAATTCTATGATCCAGGCTCAAGGGACTTCCCTCTTATCTCTTTCCTCTTTTATAGTCACTTGAGCCTGTGAACAGCCTACGTGCAGCTAATATAATCCAGGATTCGGAATGATTTATATGTGAAATATATTATACAGGTTCACAAGAGACCTCAAGGTTGTAAGTCTTTTTGGTGACAAAGATAAGAGAGAAGAAATAAAACATTCAATTAAATGTCAAATCCATAAACAGGTAGGTGATATGTAATACTATTAGCTAAAGGTGTTGATGATGATGATGAAAACAAAAAACTACTGAATAAATAAATAACATTTATTAATTCTAGATTTAAAACTGTTCAAAGTTTCTAACGTTTTAATGTCATATGAAGCATTCCATAATAATTATTTAGGAGATTCTACAGAAATGGCTCAATCACCATAGATTTTCAGTTGGTTGCTTGACTATAACTCACTGTGATGTTTTGTCTTTCAGGATGTTAATAGGAAAATGCCTGCAATAAATGTTGTTCTTACCACATATGAGGTATTGTACAGCAAATTTATTAGATGTGGCCGGGAAAAAGAGAGTTGTCATTAAAAATAAAAATAAATTTATAATGTCATTATATATATATTTCTTGCAGATTTGTATTCGAGAGGTAGCATTTCTGCGCAAGTATGTAGTTGAGATTTTACGTTTGAATAGATTATTTTTTCCAGTTTTTTAGTACATTGCTGTGTTCCTTGATTATATGCTCATTTATATACAGGGGGTTAGCCTTATTTCATGGTCTAATTATCCACAAATACAGTACCAACGATAAAACATAAAGAATGCACAACTTCGATGATACAAATGCTTTGAAATTCCACCAAACTTGACTAATACAAATAAATATTCTACACAAAATTGAGCCTGGCTAACTGAGAACTTGTAGTTGCAGAATTGAAATGTTTAATCTTTTTAACCTACTGGTATTTAAGTGTAATTATATCTATTTTATCAAAAACAGTTTTCACTGGAAAGCCTTAATTGTGGATGAAGCTCACAGATTGAAAAATTCAAAATCATTGCTACATCAGGAGCTGAGTCAGGTAAAAATTGATATTTGTGAAACAGAAAAAAGTAAATTATGAGACAATTGAGTTAAATATATAAGCATTGAGGGTATATACCTATTACAGCAGCTGTAATTATAGAACCCTTGTACTAAAGTCCTGAGAGGAATTGCTCTGCGGGACAAAACAATGGATTTTTTTTTGCATAAGAAAAGACGGCCTATTGTTTAGTCCCCCAGAACAATTCCTCTAGGGAATCAGTGCAAGGGTATATAAACATAATTCATCTTGCAATTGGTGCCATGCGTTATTCCCTAGAGTATCATTTCTTTGTCTGAGTTGTATCCACATCCATTTGTCTTCTCACATGCAACTATTAAACAAAGAAATACTACTCTAGGGAATGACATGTGTTCTGTATTGGCAAAACAGTGCACCACAATGAAATAAGTCTATTAAGGTTAATAAAACATTCATCCATCCCATCTTATCCTGTCCCATCCATTTATCCTTTGTCATCCCATCCATCCATCCATACTTCCAGCTCATTTATACATTACTTAAATCTATCTATTATTTATTGTGTTATTACTTTTGTGACTAGTCAAATCAATAATACACTTTAAATCAATAATACACTTTAAAATATTTTTTGCAGTTTAACAAGGATTTCATAGTTTTGTTGACAGGGACTCCAGTTCAAAACAACTTAAATGAGGTCAGGAACAAGAGATTGATTTGGGTTTTTCATTATGGCATCATTGATTGCAACTACCAAAATCCATTGCACATTTTCTGTTGCTCAATTAATTAGCACCAATAGCAGATATTATGGATGCATGCAAATCAGATGCAAATGAGACAACAAGCATTGTATCAGCCCAATAGCTCACTTGTGTGATTCTTAAAACAAAAGAATATCATATTGTGGGCTCAACTGTAATAACAGCTATTGTCTAACTATTCTCATGATCAAAATCTGAACTTAAAAAATCTCAAAGTATTTTCATTGGTAGTAGATGTAAAATGATGCAATTGTGCAGCTGGCCCATTATAAGATGCAATAATTTTTAGCCTTAAGTGCATGACAAAATAAATCATTAGGTTGGAGACACATTTTGAGCCTTTATTGTTATGAAAGGACTTTTTAGCTGTAAATATACAGTATTATATTAAAAACTAGAATCATAACAAAAATGTCTGTTTGCAACTTTTTCAGTTGTATTCACTTTTGTCATTTGTTGCACCTTCAATATTTGATCCTGACTTGGAAGAAGCATTCTTGGAAACATTTGCTGATGTTGAGACCTCTTCAGGTAAATATAGAATCTTGAAGACCTACATACTAACCTTTTCACAGTCATATGAAAACTGCTGTTTATTGTGTGAATGTGTCTGCAATTGTTTTTGTCAAGTACTACTGCCCATAATATTGAGGATTTCATAATTTCTAATACTCAGAAGCAGTTGCTTTAGTTATCTTGTCATGCCCCTTTAAATACATTGTACCCATAATAAGGAGCGCTGATAGTCTGAGGGTTTAACGGGTGCACCTTTGAGCGCTTTATACAGGTGCTTCTGTCTTGGGAGAATTGGGCAACCACTCAGCTTTACCTTACCTTTATCCTCTATACCCTAATGTTTTGTTTTATGCATAAATTTGCTATCCTATCCTTTGTTTTATAAGCACATTCATCCTCTCTGTTTAATTAGGTGGTGCCTCTAAATTTAATAACTTTATTCTTTGCATTCCAGGAAGAAACAGTGACCTGCAATATCTTCTGTCACCATTTCTTCTTCGACGTGTCAAACTAGAAGTAAGTATTTTTAACGCAACCCATTATATTGTAGAGTCTGTTGTCACAAACGACTGAACACCAATGACCAATGTAATCATTGTAATTTTAAGGTGATGAGTGATCTTCCACAGAAGTCAGAGGTATTGTTACTCTGTAACAATTAATGTATTGTATCAAATTTATTGTTTATCATATGGCTACAAATTTGCATTTATCTTTACATTTAAAATATGTACATTGAAAATGGATAAATTGTCTCAGATGATTGATTGATTGGAGATTGTTTAGAGGCTTTCTAGTACAAGCCAAATTAATGTGAACCAGCCATGTAAAAGATTCCTTGATTGTTAGAGCTGCAGTTAATTTAAAATTAAAAATTATTTGGTTGCATGATGTTGATGATGGTGATGATGATAAGGCGTACCTGTATGATTTGAAAATTATGCATTACAAAAAAAAAACAGCTATTCATTTGGATTTGAGCTTAATTATGATCAACATGATTGTAATTTTGCTTCTTTTATTCCTTATAGGTCATCCTTTATACAGGAATGACAGAATTACAAAAGAAATACTACAAAGCTATTCTTACTAAAGACTTAGGTTAATATCTGTTTTTCATGAAGAAATAGAAAACGCACGTGCATGCTGTGTGCAGTTATAAAGCACACGGGGGTTGGCAGAACACGAGAGAAGTGTTAGGTCAAGCACCACGCATAGCGGAGTGTTATGCCAATCTCCAAGTACTTTATAACTGCACACAGCACAGCACAACAAGTTTTTATTTCTTTTATAAAATACAAATTACAATAACGGTTATTTTAGATAGGAATGATGCAACTGAAAGTGTGCATGCATGCTGTGTGCTCTCATAAAGTACGCGCTTCCAACCAATGAGAACAGGAGATTAATAACAGTTTATTTTACAATTATAATTATTGCATGTCTTTCTGATCAATACTGTAGAACTGACTTGAAATTTGTTTCTTGTCATAGGAGCTTTTTCTAATGAGAGTTCAAATAAATCACAGCTAAAGAATACACTTGTTCATCTCAGGAAGTGTGTCAATCATCCATATTTGTTTGATGGTATGTATTAAGTATAGGTCTATATCAAATATTATATTCTCATTGAGAGCAGAATAATTGGGTAATGAAAATACTAATTCTATTGAGATGCTGCAGGCTATGACTCTGATACATGTAATAGAAGCCATGTAATTGGTTTACTGGGTAATAATAAAGAATGCTACCCCAAAATAGGTGCCAAGTGTCAGTACTACGTGATCTCCCTAGATGAGCTTGCATGAGAGCTCTTGGAGACAACTTATAGAAACTGTATGTTTAAATAAAAAGTGTCAGTCATTATAGGTATGGTATTGCATGGTTGTTGGTTGTAAGTCAATAGTAGATTCTCAAGGGGTTAATGTTAGGTGGTTGGTAAGATGTCAGGAAAAGTAGCTTGAAAAAAAAGGTATCAGTAGGTTTTTGTTTGCAGATTCAAAACCTTTTCAAAGAATGAAGCCTGCATGTGAATAATTAATAGACATTTTAGATCATAAACTATAATTAAAATATTTTCTTTATTTCATTTTTTTTTTTTGTTTTTCAATGATTTTCTTACAGGAGTTGAACCTGAGCCATTTGTTCTGGGAGATCATCTAATCAATGCCAGTGGTAAGATGTTCTTTTCGAAGATGGTTGAAGTGTCTCTCTTAGCTGGTATTTTTGGGTGCCATGTAATCCAACCAAACGTCAACCAGTACCACACAAAAAGTCTGGGCCCGGTTGTACAAAACCTGGGTAATGCTATCCGGTGGATAAATCCTTATCCAGTGTATAAGTCAATGCTGTTATCCAATAAATTTATCCACTGGATGAGATTTATCCATTGGATAGTGCTATCCAGGCTTCGTACAACAAGGCACTGACGTTTGTATTTTGAAATGTTTTTTCCATCTGACAGGAAAACTCCAATTACTGGACCAACTCCTCTCATTCTTACACAAAAGGTAAAAGTTTGAGATGAGATGAATAAATGGATGGGATGAGATGAGATGAGATGAGATGAGATGGTTAAATGAGTGGATGGAAGGATGAATGAGTGGATGAATGAATTAATGGGATTAATGGATATTGTTGTTGTTATTTTCAAGGAAGTGGAAGCTCTTTCTTTTGACTACATGTACAATCTTATGCAACACAAAACTATCTGGATGACATTGTATCTATTTTTTTTTCACTTTTCTTTTTTCAGGAACCACAAAGTGCTTGTATTTTCCCAGATGACAAGAGTGCTAGACATATTGCAGGATTATCTCGGTTATAGAGGTAAGCAGCTAATGCTAACATCACTACCACCACCACAACAATCACCAACACCATCACCACCTGCATCACCACCTGCATCACCACCTTCCCCACCACCACCACCACATCACTATCACTGTCATCACACCATCTATCATGATTATTAGTCCTAACATCAATGTCAGTAACCATTATCATCACATCAGCATCATCAACATTACCCCCGAAATATCAAGCCCCTATCATTTGTTAAAACATGATCACCAACAACTTTGTGTTCATTGTCATCCTTTATCATAACCTTCCAATACTGTTGTCAATTTTAGGAGCAATTTTTATTAAAATCATCACCATTATTATTCTCATCGTTCCGTTCCGTCACATAATATGACCGTTATCAATCCTGTAAATGGTTATCACCATTTATTCAATCCTTTTCTTTCCTAATAGATTTATTTTGTAGAAGAAAACTAATTTACCTTTTCCATTGTCAGGTTTTACCTACGAACGTCTGGATGGCTCTGTGCGCGGGGAGGAAAGATATCTCGCAATACGAAAYTTTAATGAAACGGAAGACACTTTTGTTTTCTTGCTCAGCACTAAAGCAGGTATGATACTCACTCATGGCAAAGAATAGAAAAAAACTACAGACTTGAGCTGCAACAACAAATATTTGCAGCACAGAGAGTGGGCATATGAAGTGTCTTTCTACAGTTTCTGTACCTAAAAGTATTCCCTGCCAGCAGAGTCTCTCCTATTTCTCTCCCTTCCTTTAGGCGGGGAGGAGAGAGTAAAGCATTTCCTTTGATGAGAGCGACTGTCAAAATCATGACAGTGTTGCTAAGTCACGCCACGCAGGCGTGACAAGTATAACGTCCTACATAGTTGGCAGAGTCTATTTTTCTCACTCCACCAAAATAAAAGGAAAGTAGGTTTTGCTAGCAGGGAACTAAAATTCTAAAACTCATGAATATTTAATGAGGAGAAAACAAAGCAAATCACTACTGTGACGGTGGTTTGGGAATGTGTTCTTAATTTGCATTAAGTTTCGTAAACTTTTTCTTTGATTTTCTCCAAGAAACATTCATTAGTTTGAGAAGTAATATAAAACACTTGAGAGAAATCTTCCTCCGATTTCCAAACACCTCAAAGTCAGTTAAAAAAACCCGGCTGCGCCTTGTTTTTTGAACTCACTTTTCGGTGTTTGGAGATCGGAGGAAGAACTCTCTAGCGTGTTTGAAATATTACGTACAGTATTTTAAGATGATCTCCTCGACAGTGTTACAGTATTACAGTTTTTTTTTTTTTTTTTTTTTGAATGATCAATTTTCGTGTCTTTCAGGTGGCCAGGGCCTCAACCTCACTTCAGCAGATACTGTTATATTTGTGG